TAGTCAAAAATAGAAATAAACCACAAGTAGCTAAACTGGAAAACCATCAATTTACCCCGTACCAAATTCACCGTAAACTGATGTTCCAATACACAAAGACTCATAATTTGACCCGAAACCTACGGCTTCCAACGCAGTACTATCCAAAATTCATGTTCTGAAAGCAAGTCACAAATACAAATTAGACAAAACATACATTTCGCAACATTGAATCGCGCCCAGAGATTATTTTCATAGCCTCAACGACTGCCATTCCCGCAACAATAGCATTTGCCGTCGCAATTGCTGGAATAATATTTCCAGCTATGGCTGTAAAAATTAAATATATAACAATTGAAAAAAAGTAAAGATCAAACTAGTTGAAAAACATAAAAGAAATCAAGTAAAACTGCTTACATTTAAGCTCAAAAAGCGTCTTCAAAGGAATGTTAAAAATAAAAGCACGAAGGTTTGAGCATGCCCCAACGAAATTCATTGATGCGTCGTCATCCTTAAAGTGAAAAATAAATCTACAGCTACTTTTTGAATATTTTATGAAGAAGGAACATTTGAAAATGTCGTTAAAAGAGAATTAAAGTTACTTTGTCCCAATTAAGGATTGTCCCTTCCTTAGCCCTTTCTTTTAAAACCTTCAAAGCACTTTCGAAATGCTCTCTGCACTGCAGAGGAGTCCACACCGCTCCATCTGAGTCTCTACTGCTTGATCCGGGATCTTAATCAAAAACAGCACTATATTTCACTTTTAAGGGAAATGTTGTGAAACAAAGAACAGTAAACAAATAATGAAGCGAAAAACTCCATAAGCACTATAAATTCAAAATTACTCTGATTTAGTAGGTCATCCCAATCTAAAGGTACTGGTTTACGACGTTCTTTCCATAAATTAGTCATTTCTAGCAAATAATTGATATCGTCGTGGAAAAACTAAAATATTTTGCACTTAACATTTGACAAACAAAAATCTAGACTACCACAATAAAGCTTAAATAAACATGGGCCCTGGACATGAAACTAACGAAATCCATTCGGTTTACTTGGCAAAAACCATTCTACTCCAAAAGCTTTTAAAAAGAATGAAGAAAACAGTCAGAAAAAATACTACATAACAGACTTTAATTAAAGGTTTTAAGGTAACTTTAGGCACGGGAAAACTAAACAGCAGCCATTCTTGCCAGACAAAACACTGAAAATCCTTGGAAAGTAGAAAACATCCTTACTTTACGGAAAAGAACTTCAGGGTTGTAAGAATTTACAGTCGCCCATTCCCTTACACTAACTACTCCAGCACCGTCTTCACCCTCACCGTCAGTCTTACCGTTTTCGTTCCCATTACTCATAGCCTCATCCTGCCCATCAAATGCATCCCTATCACTAACGTCAGGTGAGACCTCATTCTCCGCGTCAATCTCTCCAAACAATTGGCTAAAAAAATCAAGAAGAAACTTGGATGAATCAAATCTCATCAATAAAAACCTGACAAGCTTAGAGATTTTCAATGAAAGACAGGAAAAAATATCATAAATGAATCTACAAAAAACCTGAAAAGATGTTTTGCCCAAACAACACAGTGAACCATTTCTGATGGAGTATTTCTTATAGTGCAACCTGGATAGGTCTTCCTTGTTGGTTTTGGCACACATTCATAGCATTCAGTACGATCGCGAATGATGACACTAACCTAAAACAAATAATTAATTCTACCTTCTCAGTAAGCATAAAGATATTCGTGCAGATCATAAAGTAAAGCTACCCCTTCACCGACAATGTATGAAAACACCCCGAGATAATTACTCGATTTTAACGCAGTGAATTCCAGCTCCTTTCAAACATTTCCAAGACATTCAAAAAATAATTACAACACTAATCTACAGACTCACAGAAATGCAGAGGAAATTAGAATTACCTGCCCTCGATACCCAGCGGAACCACCATCAATTAAAGGTACCCTTGCAGCCAAACATAGTCTATTTATGTGTGCCCTTGCAGCTAAAAAAGAAATATTCATACCGATCATAACTCCCTAAATTCCCAAACTAAAAATCTTTGACAGTGCTCAACATCCCGGTTGTGAACTGCTAAATAATTTCAAACTTACAATAACGTTCTTTATTTGGGACGACTTAAGGCTTGGTTAACTTATTTTATGTCCTATAAATGTTGAGTGGCGGAGTGGAAGAGTGTTAGTTGTTATTTCCGAGCACCATTAAATAATGATCGGACGTTTCTTATCACTCCCAACCATATTTCACAAAAAAAATACAAAACTAGATAAGTGGTTAACTAAACTAACAGCAGATGTGTAAAAAAACAAGCTTGAAAAAAGCAAACAAACGTTCCAAAAAAAAATTTGTTCAAAAAATTATACTTCAGCACGAAAAATGTAAAGGAGTGAATCAAAAAACCCATGCTATACGTGCACAATTAAACGCATACTCATTTATAAAAATAAAGGTAGAAAAAGAATTGATAATGACTAATAAAAAAATATTTCAACATTGGGTGTTATAGTACAAATATAATAGCGCAGAGTCATAACTAAAACTAAAAATGAGAATTAATTCTGCGAACAGCAAATAAATTTGAAAATGCATCACTAACCTCGATTATCCAACGCGCCGAAAACTAAAGCAAATTTCTGGAAGAAGTCAAAGCCATAACTCTCACTGAAACGTTGAAAACTTTTCAAATGATCAATTACAATCAATCAAAAATTTTTTCTCAAATCACAATAGGTCAACTCACTCAAATATAGAAGCGCAATGGTCCACAATTTTCAAATTCGGAGCGAGCTTTCGAACAGCTTCTGCAGCAACCTTAGCCTTGGGCTGCCCAACATGTTCTCGACGAAATAAAAATTGCCTATTTAGATTACTGACGTCAATTGTATCCAAATCAATCTAAAATAAAGTTTTAAGGAAGTCAAATGACAATATACTATGAGGGAAATTTCTTGACAACTTATATAAACATGCCCAAAACACGAACTGTTGAAAACGTGAATTACTGACACAACACTGCATAGTCTGTCAAATTAAAGTTAATATCAAAGAGTTTTTATTTCTACCAAATATCAAGAGTAAATCTTCAGTAAAAGTGATTCCTTGGTACCTTTAAACTTTAAAAGACAAGTCTCTTACTATTTTCAGCCCAGAAAAGAAAATGAGCCAAATACTTCAAAAAAATTCTGTTAATAACCGCTAGCCTAAAATACTCCTCCTAGTGAAACCTGCAAACTACCTCGAAGTCAATTTAAAATAAATTCACATAAGTTAAAACTCCATAGCAAATATACATATATCCCTCAGTAGAGATCCAATTTTTAGAAACACGATTTTACAAATCATTCAGACTCCGAAATTTACTGATTACGAGGAACAAGTAAGCACTGACATTATGACGCAATGACGTCACAGTGAAATGTGAATGAGGCGCATTCCGTGCGACAACCGCAAACCGTTGCATAAAATCTAGTTATATTGCTAAAACTTTAACAATGAAACGGCACACAGATGGGATTTGCGAGCCACGAAAGCAGCAGTCATAGCTGCACAGAAGTATCGTATACTCTATAGAATCGTCGTACGATTCAAAGACAAGTCAGACTCCTGGGGTTATTGATACACCCACCAGAAACCGTTTTTTTCAGAACATACTACTTCAGTCACTCAATTCTGCTAATAACCCTCTCTAACGCACTCTACAACAAGATGTCGATAGTTCGACTCAGTAAAAAGCCTTCCTATCAATTCTAGCATCTACCGCAACGGAGGCTTCCACTCTATTTTCTGTAGTGCACATAATGATCACAATGCGACAGAAAGGTAACTCATAAAAAGCTTCCTGCATCAGTCATTTCGTTAAACCAAATTCACACTATATATGTATACTTCGAAGTTCCAACAGTAAGTTTCCGAAGAACAAAGAAGTAACTACATTGCTCAAAATCTTACAACTTCTATATTGGAGAAACCTGACAGAACCAAATCTTTCAACAATTCGCATCCAATTCCGCCGGCTCCAACTACAAGTACTGGGGATTTTAATTTTTCTAAGAACGCTTCATCGCGCCACCCCATAATTAAGCCTGAAATAAATGAATTTGAAGCACTAAATAAATTAAATTTGAAAAATTATCTAATAGAAGGAGA